ATCATAAAGAAACCATTTATACTTAGTTTTAAGGTATTTGATTCACAACAAATTGGTGCGGTGAGCATGGAGAAGATGCCTTCAACAATGTATGAGATTGAAAAGTTTACCAGAGTGAACGACTTCGGTCTGTGGCGCTTGAAGATGAAAGCCCTATTGGTTCAGCAGGGTTGTTTGGAAGCATTGAAGGGTGAGGCAGCCATGGACGCTGCACTAACGGAAAAAGAAAAGACGAGCATGATCGAGAAAGCCCACAGTGCAATATTATTGAGCCTTGGTGATAAGGTTCTTCAACAGGTATCAAAGGAGACTACAACATCGGGATTATGGGTGAAACTTGAAAGTTTATACATGACCAAATCTCTGGTGAATCGGCTCTACTTGAAAGCTTTATATTCATTCAAGATGAGTGAAGACAAAGTGTTGGCTGAGCAGTTGGATATGTTCAACAAACTATTTCTTGATCTTGAAAATATTGATGTGAAGATCGATGATGAAGATCAAGCACTGTTGTTACTGTGTATTTTGCCCAGAACACATGCTCACTTCAAAGAAACTCTCTTGTGTGGAAGGGAGTCCCTGACCTTTGAAAAAGTTCAATCAGCCTTGTATTTTAAGGACTTGAACGAACGAAAGGAGCATAAATCTTCGATGGTGGGCGAAAGTTTGGCCGTTAAGGGAAAATTCTTGCGAAAGGATGGTAAGTTCGACAAGAAGAAAGGTAAAAGTCAACAAAAGTCTTATAGTGGCGAAACATCTAGTATTCGATATTATCACTGTAAGAAGGAGGGTCACATAAGAAAGGTGTACCCTAAATGCCTGAAAGATCGTGGAGGTAATGGCAATGCAGCCATTGTTCAAGATGACTTTGACTCATCTGATGTTCTTGTGGTTTCAAGTGGCGACTCAAGGAAATAGTGGATTACGGATTCAGGTTGCACTTGGCACATGACTCCAAACAGAGAATTGTTCGAGGAGCTATGTGATCAAGATGATGGATCTGTGCTGCTGGGAAACAACAAATCTTACAAAATTGCAGGTATTGGATATGTGAGATTCAAGCTCCATGATGAGTCAATAAGGTTATTGACTGAAGTCAGATACGTACCTGACTTGAAGAGAAATTTGATTTCTCTTAGTGAATTCGACAGAAAAGGATACGTTTTTCAAGGAGAGAAAAGTATCCTAAGAGTCATGAAGGGGTCGAAGGAAGTCTTGAGAGGCGTGAAGAAACAAGGCTTGTATACCCTTGAGGCTGAGGTTGTAAGTGGTTCGACAAATGTTGCATCCACGAAACTTATGTCGAATACAAAATTATGGCACATGAGATTGGGCCATATCAGCGAAAGAGACTTGGTCGAATTGGGGAAGTAGAACTTGCTAGGAGGTGACAAAGTCGAAAAGTTGGAATTCTGTGAATCTTGTGTATTTGGTAAATCCTGTAGGGCGAAGTTTAGCAAAGGAAAGCAAAGAACACATGGAACCTTGGATTACATTCATGCTGATCTTTGGGGACCTGCAAGGAATCCTTCATACTCAGGTGCAAGGTATTTTCTATCCATTTGTTGATGACTATTCTAGAAAGCTATGGGTATTCATCCAGAAGACGAAGGATGAAACTTTTGAGAATTTCAAAAGTTGGAAGATTCTGGTCGAAACTCAGACTGGCAGAAAGGTTAAGAGGTTGAGAACCGACAATGGTCTTGAATTCTGCAACGAAGCGTTCAACAGTTACTGCGTTGAGTCTGGGATTGCAAGGCATAAGACTGTAGTAAGTACTCCTCAACAAAATGGCTTAGCTGAGAGATTCAATCGAACAATCCTTGAAAGGGTTAGATGCATGTTGGTTAGTGCTGGATTGAAGAAGGTGTTTTGGGCGGAAGCTGTTTCGACAACAACTTACCTGATAAATAGATGTCCATCGAGTGCCTTGGGAATGAAGACACCTGAAGAAGTTTGATCGGGACATCCACCTAGTCTCGACAGACTGAAAGTATTTGGATGTGTGGCCTATCCTCATATTCGGTAAGACAAGGTCGAACGTAGAGCTTTTAAATGCATGTTCATGGGATACCCTGAAGGAGTAAAAGCTTATGGGCTATGGTGCCTAGAGCCAGGTCACAGGAGGTGTATCACCAGTCGAGATGTAGTTTTCAATGAAGCAGAGATGGGTTTCAAGAAAACTGATGATGCTGACGAAGAGCTGGAACAGGGAGAGATTCCTGTTGAGGTGGAGCATCTTGATGCTGAATTACTTATCCCAAATGAAGTCGAAGAAGACACAGAAGATGTTGTCGAAGATGAGAAGACTGATAATGACTACCTGCTAGCAAGAGACAGGTCGAGGAGAGACATCAAGCCACCTCAGAGACTTTGGTATGCAGATCTTATAGCTTATGCCTAAATCTCTGCTAGTGAGGTTCTAAATGAAGAACCTAGAGACTATAAGGAAGTTTTGAGGAGTCGAAAAAGACTGAATGGCTGAAGGCTATGGATGATGAGATGAAATCTCTCCATGATAACAACACCTGGGAACTGATCAAGAAATCTGCTGGAGCCAGGTTAGTCAGCTGTAAATGGATTTTCAAAGTTAAGGAAGAAATCGAAGGAGTGACGTCGAAGAGATACAAGGCAATATTGGTTGCTATGGGGTTCACTCAAAAAGAAGGTATCGACTTCAATGATGTGTTCTCTCCTGTTGTGAAGCACAAATCCATTCGAATGTTGCTTGCCATGGTGGCCCAGTTTGACCTTGAACTGGAACAGATGGATGTGAAGACTGCGTTCTTGTATGGTGATCTAGATGAAATAATTCTGATGAGGCAACCTGAAGGGTATGTCGAAAGGGGGAAGGAAGGGTATGTGTGAAAACTGAATAGATCTTTATATGGACTGAAACAATCTCCTCGACAGTGGAATAGGAGATTCAACAAGTTCATGACACACATAAGTTTCATCAGAAGTCAGTTCGACCACTGTGTTTACTTCAGATTTCGACTAGGTAATTCATTTGTTATTTTGTTGCTCTATGTGGATGATATTCTAATAGAAAGCAACAATGTCGAAGAGGTAATGAGGGTGAAGGCTGAACTCAATAAAAAGTTCGACATGAAGGATCTGAGAGCTGCGTCTAGGATTCTTGGGATTGACATCCAGAGAGATAGAAATCAGTCAAAATTATGCTTATCTCAAGAGGCATACCTATATAAGGTTCTCGTAAAGTTTGGTATGTCGAATTCAAAGTCTGTTGTGACTCCGACAAACCCTCAATTCAAGCTGAGTATAGATCAGTGTCCCAGCACTGATGTTGAAAGAACTTATATGAATAGCATTCCATATGCTAACATAGTAAGTTCTTTGATGTATGTTATGGTTTGTACTAGACCCGACATAACATATGCAGTAAGTCTTGTAAGCAAATACATGGCGAATCCTGGAAAGGCTCACTGGAAAGCATTAAAGTGGATTTTAAGGTACATAAATGAGTCTCTGAATAGAGTACTAATTTATGGTGGAGCCTTGGGTGAAGATAGTAAAGCAGCAATCGAAGGATATGTCGACTCTGATTATGCAGGTTGTATGGATTCTAGAAAATCTATCTCTGGATATGTGCTCATTGTGTTTGGGATAACAATTAGTTGGAAAGCAACACTTCAGAAGGTCGTTGCCTTATCAACCACTGAAGCGGAGTATATTGCCCTAACTGAAGCTGTGAAAGAAGCATTGTGGCTTAAAGGTTTTGCAAAGGAGTTAAAACTTCAAGGTCGAGTTATCACTGTTAAATGTGATAGTCAAAGTGCAATACACCTGTCGAAGAATTCAACCTATCATGAGCGAACCAAACACATTGATGTAAGGCTGCATTTCATCAGAGAGGTAATCGAGCGTGGAGAAGTTCAAGTGCTGAAGGTTTCGACAGATCATAATGCTGCTGATATGATCACCAAGACGTTGACCAGTTGCAAGTTTTTTCACTGTATGCAGTTAATAAAATTGCATGAAGAAAGCTAGTTTCTTGATGTTACAGAGTTAGATCCAAGGTGTAGATTTGTGAGATGTTGGATTGAACTCTAGTATGGTCGAAGTCTATTCGCGAGTAATGCGTGTTGTAGTCGAAGTTTGTTCTAACATGCATTAGTCAATATTGCTAGGGTTGTTAGCATGTTGAATTGGGCCTTGCTTGTAAGCACAATTGTTTAAGTTAGCTTGTATCTTAAGTTAGCTTGTAATGGGTAATTGTTAAAAAATTCATTAGGTTAGTGTGTTATTTTTCTTATAAATAGGATACTAGTTTCTCAATCTTGACATAAGAAAAAATAGAAAGATAAAATCCTAATTTCAAGAGAGAAGAGTTATTTTGTTATTCTTGTATACTTGTAATCTTGTTCTAAGAGAAAGAAAAAAGTAGCAGTTTAATAATCAATTCTTATTTATTTCTTCTTTATTAACCCTAACCCTTGTGTATTTCTTGATTACAAAGAAACTATTTATACTTAGTTTTAACGTATCTGATTCACAACAATATATATATATATATATATATTAAAAAAAATTGTTTTGAAAGATACTCTTCAATTTTAAGCTAGTGTAAAATGATCATCCATTATATGTTTTTTATTGGAGTCTTATGCCATTATAATTTGTACAAGGAAATTGGTGACTAACTCTTGAATTTTTAACTTAAGGAACAAGTTTTCAAATTCAAATCAACCACTCCTTTATAGCAACTCAACAAAGATTAAACAATAACAAAAGAAAACAAGCCGGAGAAATATCTAGCTGACAGCAACGTGATCAGCCGATAACCGTGACAATAACCTCCCAAACTAACCGACAATCAAATTTCGACCCTCGAAGTTTCCCCAATCGCTTCACCGGAACCATACATGATCAACCATACATGACAATCATACATCATCACATGATCGCACTCTTTATTCTCTTATTTTCACATCACCATTCATTCATGCAAATCCATTTCACAATTTCAACAACCACTCATGTTACCGGTTACCCTAACTCAATTTCTTCCCGCCAAACCCTTCCCCTCCCGCCAATTCCGTCTCTACAAACGCCCTAGACTCAAAATCGAAGCCTCTCTCCCACTTCCATCGCCGTCGCCGTTTGAGAATCTCTTCACCACGTTGATCTCTCAATATCCCTCCGTTAACTCGCTCGATTTCATCGTTCCCGCTCTCGGTTTATCTTCCGGCGCCGCTCTTTTCTTCTCCCGATTCAAATCATCTCGAATTCCCGATTCCGATGCCGATGCTGGAGAAGTTGGAGAATGCGGAGAATTGGGAGAATGGATCCTCTTTGCATCTCCAACGCCGTTTAACCGTTTCGTTATGCTCCGGTGTCCTTCGATATCGTTTAGGGAAAGCCGCCATGAGGTTAACGAGAGGTTAGTGAAGGAGGAGAAGCATTATGTGACGGTTAACAGTGGGAAAGTTATTGCGAAGAAGAAGGAGAAGGATTTTGATTTGGATGAAGATGAATTGAGTTATCAGAGAGTGTGTTTGAGTGCGCCTGATGGAGGTGTGGTTTCGTTGGATTGGCCTGTTGAATTGGATTTGGAAGAGGAAAGTGGTTTGGATTCTACGCTGTTGCTTGTTCCGGGTACTCCTCAAGGGAGTATGGAGGATAGTATAAGGTTTTTTGTGGTTGAGGCTCTTAAGAGAGGTTTTTTCCCTGTTGTGATGAATCCTAGAGGATGTGCTTCTTCACCTCTCACCACTCCAAGGTACTATATCATTAAAATTATTTAGCTGCTATTAACTTAGGATAAATGTTTACATTTTAGTCTATTTTACTACTTATTTATGGATTTATGATATTGGTATGCTATATGGCATCAATGTGACTATGTGATCACCTATCTAATCGAAATGCTAGTTCTTTCGGAAATCTGTGTAGTGGAAGATGAAGTGACTTGTAGTATGTTGTTTGATATTAGATTCTAAATATAGTTAATAGCCATAGTTTAGTAGTTTTTTTGTGTGGATATTAGACATGGGAAATTTCCCTATGAGTGAGAATGATGGTTGATTAGGGTTGTAATCTCTGGGGGCTGGGGACTGACTTCCTTTTGTTATCACATTTTGATCTAATATAACCACCGAATGTTTATGAGAAGTGTCAGCAACACATATTGTGACACTCTTTCCAACCCTTTCTTTGTGACTGGTTGGGATTCATATAAGTTTCAGAAGCTTGAGAATAGGTCCACCACGTTTGAAATGGAACCCTATGAATTAGTGCAATCCTCATGTATTTAATTGATAGTTGAGACTAGAGTGTTGGAGCGAGAATGCCAGACGGTGTGCTGCTAGCTCTTTTAAAGGATTATTTAGCTCCATTCCTTCTTCCTCTTCGTCTTCATCCTTCAGTCCTAGGACCGGAACGCTGGTTACTTCTTTTAATGGACTGGGACGGAGTACCTTTTTCTCACATTAGAGACTTATGGCAAAGATAAGACAATGGTAGCTTTATTTTCTGTAGGTTATTTACCGCTGCTGACAGCGATGATATCTGCACAGCTATAACTTATATCAACAAAGCAAGGCCGTGGACTACCTTGATGGGTGTTGGTTGGGGATACGGTGCTAATATGCTCTCAAAATATCTGGCCGAGGTTGGGGAAAAAACACCACTGACAGCTGCTACATGTATAGACAATCCTTTTGATTTAGATGAAGTTACAAGAACCTTTCCTTATCACCATGTTATTGATCAGAAACTCACCCGTGGCCTTGTAGATATTCTACAAACCAATAAGGTAAACAGCATTCAATTTTCACCCATTTTTTTCTCCCTTTGCGATTTGCCTGCAATCCCATTCAACCTCCAAACTGTTTATTTCGACACTTTTCAGTATTCTTCTATTATCCCTTAACACCACTAGTTCTGATTTAACTAAAAACTCCCTACTTCTGTAGGCACTTTTTCAAGGCAAAACAAAAGGATTTGATGTGGAAAAAGCTCTATTGGCAAAATCCATACGTGATTTTGAAGAAGCAATATCCATGGTATCATATGGCTTTGTGGACTTAGAAGATTTTTATAGAAATTCTAGCTCAAGAAATATGATCAAGGATGTTAAAATTCCTGTACTATTTATACAGGTAATTATGCATTTCTTTATGCTACTATCTCATCTAATAAATCCTCTCTTGATCTATAGCATCCTTTGCATTTTGCTAAATGTTAATTCATTACGTGTTATATTGCTTTGGTGGTGATTGTTTTGGGTGTAAGTAGTATACTTCCGACTATCCACGACACACTAAATAACTCTTTTTAATTGTGTTTTGATGCTTTATCACTATTAGAAATGTGGAAAAATCACATTTTTAACGTGATTTCAAAAAAATGGAGGACATATTTAGGGGCAAAATCTGTTATCGCCCATGTAGTCAATGACTGATAGCATGGCAGATGGCCCCCAAAATGCTTCAGTGGTGAAGTGGGTAGAGGTAAGGCCGCTTCTCTGAAGTTTAGGGGAGAAGAAGAGATCTGGTGCGAACAGTACAGAGGAAAACAAGAAGAGAAGACCGCGCCAGAGTCTAACGAGTAAAAGGTCGCAGAGAGGAGAGTCCGCAGCCTCACAGGAGACCTCGCAAAGTAGTAGGGAGGTTGCAGAAGTTATAGAGCCAAAACGGTTCTAAAAGACTAAAACTGAGCAATTTTTCCTTTTCTCACAAATAACCAGGAAATTTTTACTTCTCCGTTTGTTTGTCTTATCTGCTACGTTCTTCAATGTGATCCCTCTGCCATTTGTCTGTAATTTCTCCTCTATTGCTGCAACACAAAACCACTCTGCCACAGTGTTATGTGCTCGGACCTTCGCTACACCATGTACCAATGTGATTGCGGCCGCCACCACCCTTATTGACTATAGAGTTTGACATCCGGTGCCAAATTGAGTATATGACACCTCTAATAACTTCTCTGGGAAGGTGAGTTTGAGTTTCATCACCAGACTGTTGAATTATGTTATATTATTTGAATAAACATATATTCAATTTCTTAGGTAGTTTAAACATTTATAACCATGTAATTTAACGATAAATATCCTATATTTTAAAATGGCATACCATACAATAAAACCTATGATGCATAGGTATGGGGTACAGTATCCGGTATGGGCGTGGGTACTAGTACAGGGTACAACAATTTTTAAAAAATTCAAGGTACAGGTAAGTCGATTAAAAACAAGTTAAAAAAATTCAAGGTACGGGTAAGTCGATTAAAAACATGAGTTTCTCTATAAAATGTATTTACTAGAGAATTCAGTTGTTTTATTCAAAACAAAACATCACATTAAAATTTTAAAAAGTAAAAAAGTTGCGTTGAGTTACCATAACAAAGAAACTAAAATACATAATGCATTATATTAATATATGAAGAAAAAAAATTTCACTAAAAATCGAATAATAAGAAAAAATGAAGCACCACAAGTACGGTACGTGTACCCAGTGCAGGTACTTCACCATTTTAAAAGTACCCATGCTTCTGAGGTTAAAACACAATGATGTATTAAAGCATGCAATGAATTTTGAATTTTTTAGGTACGATCAATTTGCATGCAATGATTTTTGAATTTTATAGGTATGATCAATTTTAAAAACTTTCAATTATAAGATAAGTGATACTTGTATTCTACACAGATATTGGAGTTGTAAGTATATATTATCTCACGATAGCAATTTATTATTGTGAGAAATGAAAATAATCAATGGCAACTGTGACTTACAATTCTATGACCCGGATTTAGAAACACAATGAACGGTCACACGAACAGTTTGTATCTCTTCGTTTGTGTAAGTGCATTTGTCTTCCTCTTCTCGCATGAACTTGTGGTATGTGTTCTGAAACCCACTTCTACTATTCCCCTGCATATCTAATTCTACCCAGTGCGTACACTAACCATCACAACACTGTCTTTAAGTGACGCAACCTTCATGATCCCATTAAACACGACCCCATCAACGTTGGATCAACTTTTGTGCTGCGTGATGTGGTTCTCCCAACAATTAAGCAGACCCTTTCTTTTTATTATGAGCAAACCCTTTTGGTACACTAAACAAATAGAACACGTCTTCAACTTTTTTAATTCTCCAATTTCAACTTGCTTAACCTCCAAATGTATTTAAAATAAATGGTAGAAATAAATGATTTAAGGCCATATATGGGTGATCATTATTTTATCTAACTGTTTGCACTGGTGAAGACAATAATTAGATGCCATTGGAATTTGTTTCTGGGTGAGAGGGGAGTACTTTTCATGATTTAAACAAACCAATGTGAAAAATAACCAAATGGAAATGTAAGGAATGAAAGTTGCAATTTAGTAGGTCTGGATTTTACTTTTTCATTATATAGATTGATATCAGAGTTTAAACTTATCTCAATCTCCAGGCTAAGGTACAGAGTTCTTAGTCTGATTTTGAGATGACTATACAGAGATGTACCCCTATACAATCTAAACCAAAACAGTATGCACAAGACAAATGCGAGCATTGAGTTATATACACACAGTAACAGTCTTGGTCCCTTCTCTTCACTGGTGGATTTGACAATACTTACAAACAATAAATAATCAATGAATCTCAGTTCTTGACGTGTTTTAGCTCATTCATAACAGGGAGTAGTTATAAATATGCCTTCATGGGTTTATCGTTGTTTTATTAAAAGTGTCATTTTTGAATTGTTTGTTATTTGCTATTTATTAATACACATATATGAATGTAGGCAAATGCATAAAATGTCAGAAGGCTTACTGTTGGTAATTTTTTTATCAGAGTGATAATGGGATGGTTCCAGTATTCTCAGTTCCGCGAAATCTGATTGCAGAAAATCCATTCACCAGCCTGCTCCTATGTTCTTGTTTGCCATCAAATGTTATGGATACTGAAACATCTGCTTTATCATGGTGTCAGCTTGTAACAGTCGAGGTAGCTATCTCTATCTAGTCATGGATGAATATGTTGTGTTATTTATGTAACATTCTTGAAGTTGGGATTTCTAGTATTATTTGATTTACAGGTTCTGAAAACAATACTAGACTGGGCAGATAGACCAGCAAACTAGCTGAATGTTAGGTTCCGAAAAGAATACCAGTCAAGTCAACATGACCTGTTGGGTTAAGAAGAAACTGAAAATTCCATGTG